AAATGCTCAGCAACACACAGAGGCCCTTTTTTTCCTTCCTTCCTTCCTTCCTTCCTTCCTTCCTTCCAGAGGCCCTTTTCAATGGTGCTGACCTTCTCTCCACCAACTGTGATGCTGGCCCAGGTAACCTGCTATACCTTGGCCTTCATGGCAGCTGGATGACAGTCTGATGCTACATTCTTATTTCCCAAAAGTGAAAATCAAGTATCTGCAAACAGGTATAACGCAATCCCAATTCAGATCCCTTCATCATACTTCAAAGAGATGGAAAAGCAATCCAGTTTCACGTGGAAAGGAATGAAAGAAATCCAGATAACTAAACACTACTGAAGCAGAATAACAAAGTAGACCTTAAAATTCTTCCTGATCTTGAAATCTACTACATAGCCACAGTAACCAAAACAGCATGGTACTGGTATAGTGACAGACCCAATGGAACAGGATTGAGAATCCCAAAGTAAATCAATCCACCTAAGGCTAACTGTTCTTTGACAAAGATGAAACCCATTAAATGCAGAAAGGACAAGTTGCTTTAACAAATTATGAGGGCAAAACTGGTTATCTATTAGCAGAAAACTGAAACAAGAGTCATGCCTCATACCATATTAAAAACCTAAAGAAAGGAGCTGACAATGCCTCCCTGAAGAGAAAATGCTTCATTTGGGGAAGCTGGTCACAGGTCTTGCCACCAACCACCAGGAAAAATAACAGACCTTATGGGAGGCAAGCAGAACTGAGGTAAGAAACTCCCCCAAGGCTGTGGATGAATAATAGAGGGTGCAGAAGGGAGCTGCCACTGCTTCTCTGAAGAGAAACTGCATCAGCTGGGGAAGCTGGGCACAGGCCTTGCCATCGACCACCAAGGACAATAATAGATTTTAGGAGTGCCAGGCTGAATTCATGTCAGAGATTCATTGCCATCGACCACCAAGGACAATAATAGATTTTAGGAGAGCCAGGCTGACTTCATGTGAGGGATTCCATCAGGCTGCATGTGACTACAGAGGGCTTGGGGAGGGAGCAGCTAGCACCTTCCTGAAGAGAAATTACATCAGTTGAGGAATTGGGCACAGGCCATGCTGCTTGAACACCAAAGACAATAACAGACTTTAGGGAAGGCAGACGCACTCAGGTGAGAGATACCCCCAGGTTGTGTGTTACTACAGAGGACATACTGAGGTGCTGGAGGTAGCTGCCTGTGCTACCCCTGGAAAGAAACTGCACCAGTTGGGAAAGCTGGTTGTACTGCTGACCATTTAGGACAACAATAAATGTTAGGAGAGGTGGGCTGCAGATGATAAGATTCACTCAGGGCTGGGCACAGACCAGAGAGAATTTGAAGGGTTTTAGGAAAGGTGCACTTTCCTATTGCACAAGACCAGAAAGGGCTTCTGGTTGATAGAGCAAGTTGCCCTCTTCCATAAAGGGAATAGTTTAAGTCTGCATATCATCAATAACTTCATAAATAAAAAGAACTAACAACAACCTAGACAGACACAACAGATATGGCCTAAAAACTACTAAGAAAAGCTTCACATAATGTCAAGAAAGCAGCAGGCAGCCTCAAACATCATGGAAAAGCAAAACAAGTCTTCTCCTTAAAAAGCAGAATATATTGCAGAGCCAATGAATATCCCAGAGACGGAAATTCAGAAGAAGTATATTGAGGTAAAGTTATATGAACAGTTACGGAAGAAGGTACAAATGACAGGGAGCCAGAAGAAATACATCAACGAAGAAGAAAATGAACAACTACTGAAGAAATTTAAAAAGATGGAAGAAAGAATTGAAACCATACATAAGGAAGTACAAGAATTTAAAAAATCATCACAAGAGAGGGCACAACCAATACAGTATTGGAAATTAACAGAAATGCATGAAAATGCAACTGAAATGTCAAGACCAAAATGGCAGAAGGTTTCAACATGCTGGAGGGACACAAAGCAGAACAGAAGAGATGGAACAATGTCAGTGAGCTGGAAGACAAGAACCTGAATGGGAACGTACTAGAAGCAAAAACAGAAAAGGAGATATAGGAAAATTGAGAAAGCATTAGAATAATGTGGTAGAACATCAAAAGGAATAAAATACTTAGGATGGGAATTCTAGAACACAAGAGGGGCAAGGAAAGAACTGAGAAAACTGTGAAAGAGGTACTAGAAGAAAACTTCCTACTTATCATGAACCATGAGGAGATCCACATTCAAGGTTTTTAAAGAACCCAAAACCAAGTAGTCTCCAAAAGAAAAACATCAGGACATGTTGTGGTTGTTATGTGCTGTTGAGTCGCCTGTGACCCAAAGTGACCCTATGTACAGCAGCTCTGAACCCTGCCCTGTCCTGAGCCAGTCTCACTAATGCATGACACACCAACCCCACTGCCCCAGTTATTGTATTAATCCATCTCATCACAGGTCTTCCTCTTCTGCACTGTCCATCAACCCTTCCAAGCATGATGTCCTTATCCAAGGACAGGTCTCTCCTCTCATTGCCCAAAGTATGTGAGACAGAACTTCAAAATCTTAGCTTCCAAGGAGAAACCTGGTTTCATCCTCTCCAAGACAGACCTATTTGTTTTCAAGGCTGTCCATATGTTCAAGACTTTTCTCCAGCACCACAATCTGAAGGTATCAATTTTTCTTCTGTCAGTCATCCTTCATCATTGTCCAGCTCTCTGAAGCATAGTAAGTAATTGCAAAGACCATGGCCTGGATTAGGTGCACCTTAATCTCTAAACTGACACTGTTGCTTTTCAGCACTCTGGAGAGGTCCCTGACAGCAGATTTTCCCAATGCAATTCATCTTTAGATTTCCTGACTGCTGGTGCCAAATGTGTTGATTGTGGAGCCGAGCAAGCTGTAATTGTTAACAACCTCAGTCTCTTCTCCATCTATCATGGTGCTGCCAATTGGCCTAGTGGTGAGAATCTTGGTTTTCTTGATGTTGCACTTCAATCCATATTGAAGACTACAGTCCCTGACCTTCTTGCAGCAAGTGCTTCAGAAAGTTTCAGTAAGTAAGGTTGTGTTATCTGGAGAAGGTAGGTTGTTGATGAATCTTCCTCCAATCCAATAGCTCTAAGCTATTGATATCAGAGAGCTACAAATCAAAACAATGAGATATCATCTCACTCTACCAGAGAATCATTGTAATACGGTTATCAGAGAGAGAAAAGAAGAAAAAATAATTCACAGATAATAAACATTAAGATGGGTAAAGGGAAGGATAATATGCACTGAATGCATGATCAGACACTGTGGGTACTGTAATTAATGGTATGGAACAAAATGTGCATGGATGATTGATTTAAAAAAATTAACTTTTAAAATTTTTACTCAAATCACAACTTTAAAAAAAAGATAAAAAAGATTCTTGCTCGTTAGCACTTTTAAATAGATCTTTTACCTCAGGATGGATGGCAAAGAGATTGAGACTGTTCACAGCTTCAGTTTGCTTGGCTCCATGGTCAACACTCTTGGCACCAGCAGCCAGGAAATCAAAAACATTTTGCGATGGGAAAGTCTGCTGTTTGGGACCTCTCTAAAGTACTCAAGAGCAACAGTGTCTCTCTGGAGACTAAGTGTGCCTGATAGAGGCCATGGCCTTTGCAATCACTTGTTATGCATCAGAGAGTTGGATAACGACTAGAGAGGACAGAAGAATTGATGCCTTTGAGCTGTGATGCTGGAGAATAGTATTGAATGTACCATGGACTGCCAAGAAAACAAACAGATTCACCCTAGAGAGGGTTAAACCAAGCTACTCCTTGGAGGCAAGGATTCTGGGGCTTCGTCTGACATACTTTGGGCATGCTGCAAGGAGGGACAGGTCCTTGGGGATGGACATCATGCTTGGGAGGGTGGAGGGACGTCGCAAGAGGGGAAGACCCTCTATGAGATGGATTGATTCAGTGACTGGGGTAATCGGGATGGGTGTGTCAGAGGCAGTGCGATTGGCACAGGATAGAGCAGGGTTTAGGGCTGTTGTACAGAGGGTCGCTATGAGTCGCAAACAATTTGACGGCACATAACAACAACAACAACACAGCAGATTGGCCCACAACGTAATCTGATTTCTTGACCACTGCAGGAGTCATACTATAGAATAATTTATACTTATTAAAGCAACAAATGACTTTACAGAAGAGCGAAATTGTAAGTAAACCCATAAGGCTGAGAGTAGCTATAGTGGTGAGAGAATTTTAATAGTTTCCTAACAGTCTTAGGATTCATAAAAGCAAGAAAAAAGGAAACAAAGAGGTTATGTATATTTAGCCAATGGCATGTATGAGTCATTGATTCCCTCTCCCTGGAAGAGAGAAAGCTCTGGAGATACAGCTGTGAGAAATACGGACAACGGTAAAAGATACTTTCAGAGGTTTATGATGATAAATGTTGAGAAGGATATTAGAGAGAACTAAAGTGGCAAGAATTGTGCTGCAATCTCAAGGCATGTGGTTTGAATCCACCAGCTGCTCCACGGGAGATGTGCAATCGCCGTCCATGCAATTTAACCTCTGAAAACCTACCAGAAGGTAAGCTATGGGTCATTTCCAACTTGACGGCACACAGTAACAGAGAGCTGGAAACATTTTGTTGGCAGAAATGGGTAAGACATTCAGCTGCTAGCAGAAGACTGGAGATTCAAGTTCACTCAATGGCAGGTTGGGAGAAAGACCTGCCAACCTACTTCTGAATTTTATGATACTGAAGGTCCTATGGAGCACAGTTTTAATACATAAAGGATGGCCAAAGGTTAATATAGACCTATAGCTACTGGCCTGCAACTTTAGAGAATCAGTAATTTTTTTTTTATTAAGGACAATGGTACCTGTAATAGCTATCTATCTGTAATAAAAGAAATCAGAAAGCAGAAAGAATTTGCAACGGTTTTTGAGGGATTGACACTGAATCTGGTTCCAAAATATTATTTCAGTAATAGTCTCTCAAAAAATTGAACTCCATATGTAGAGACAGATAATAGAATAATATAGTAATAACTATCCTCCCAGTTGAGAAAGTGAAGATCACCAGATAAAGTTCTTGCTTTCATGGGCTCCTCAGAGAATTCTGGTATGAAGTTTTCATCTCTTGAAGTCAAAGGAAAAGTAGAAACAGGACTCAACGTAGAGATGTTTTGCAGTGATGAAATTACCTATCCAAGAAGAAATTACTTCTTAAAGGGGAATCAAAAGAAATAAAGTTGCAAACTGATGTTTTCTTGAATTTTTTTCCCATAGAGTTTGCAAGAATTCTAGTCATCTATGCTATAAAAATTATTATTTCCAACACACTGTGTAGAGATATAGGGGCAAATATGTCTTCCAAGGACAGAAAAAAATTGACTTTCTCTTTCACTCAGTACAAGGCAGTCACCTTGGCCTTTTCCCATTTCCTCAAATCAAGCTAACTCTTCTTCACCTCAGTATTTTCAAGTGTTGATTCCTTTACCACAGCAAGAGTGTGGTAAAGCCACCTTCCTTAACACTCTAAACTTGATTCCACCTGTAATTCTGTGCATTTTTACAGCCTTTTCTACACAGCAATTAACTTTGCCTCTTGTCTTGATTACATCTCTCCTCCCCTTCTGTTTTTGCTATTAGCTACCAGAGTTAGCTCAAGGGTGATGTTATGCTCATCTTAGTCTTAAGATATTTCTACAAGTTACTAATATTCAGAAGGGAGTAAAAAATTTTGTTGAATAGCCATTTACTCATGCATTTATATATCTGAGCAAAATTTCAGTCTATTGATTTCATGTATGTTCTGTACAAGTCTATTAATATTATAGCATGGCATCGTGTATTATTGTTTATTATTTCTGGTACTCCTTTTCTATTGTATTTTCTACTTGGTTTAGGAAATAATTCCTCCCCCCACACAGTATCTTTAGTCTCTTCTACTTGAACTTTACTAATTTTGAATTGATACTTATTTTATGTCTTCATTTATATTCTGTATGCCTCTCATTTCATGTCATATTGCAGTAATAAAAATAATTTCAAAGAACAAAAGTTAATGGTTGTCATCCACATTTTGTTCTTACTGTTAATAAATTCTTCTGTTTCACCACTAAAGTAATGTGTTGTTGTTATGTGCCATCGACTCGTTTCCGACTCATAGCGACCCTATGCACAACAGCTCTAAACCCTGCTCTACCCTGCGCCAACCGCACCGCCTCTGATACACCCATCCCGATTACCCCAGTCACCGAATCAATCCATCTCATAGAGGGTCTTCCCCTCCTGCGCTGTCCCTCTACCCTCCCAAGCATGATGT